GATTCCTTGGATCCACAAGTCAAAACCGTCGAAAGCGCCGCCACCTGGCGACGGAGAGTGGAAGGAGCCAACCCAGCGTCAAAGCCCTCCAAAAGAAAGGAAAGGACCGCAATGATTGAGGCCGTCATCGGATTTATCCCCGAGCGACTACACCAGGAGGAGAAAGCGTTCCAGGTTGCCTCATATATTCTCGTAGTCGAACCGTGGCGGGCCGCCTGCATAATGGAAATGACCCGCGGAGGAACAGCAGCGTCGGCTAACAGGTGCTGCTCAGCTTCCAAACAGTCAACTGGAGGCTCGTCGGGTCCGGATGCTGAAGAACCCCTTGGAAGAGAGAGAGAGACTGTGTCGAGGAATGCGCCATGGAGTCGCTATAGACAGGGAGCAAAGGTCCGCGTACCACGGTTGACGAGGCCAGTGCGGGGCAATGAGGATCAGTTCTGCCCTCTCGTCCAGGAGCTTCTGAATCACCCACGCCAGGAGAGGCAGAGGGGGAAACGCATAGAATAGGCCGGACGGCCAAGGACTGTGGAGGGCGTTTGTGGCTTCCGCCCGAGGGTCTGGATACCGGGAGAAGAACCGGGGAACCCGGTGGTTCGAAGAGGTGGCGAATAAATCGACAACAGGAGTCCCAAATCTGCCCATGATTTCCTGAAAAAGGGGCTGACGAATGCTCCATTCTCCAGGATCTAGAACGTGGCAACTGAGAGCGTCCGCCTGAACGTTCGAAGCTCCTGTGATGTAGTCTGCCTTGAGAGACCGAAGATGACATTCGGCCCAGAAGCCGAGGCGTAGGGACTCTGCTAGAAGTAACCTGGAATGAGTCCCCCCCTGTCTGTTCAGATGGGCTTTCGTGGAAATGTTGTCCGTTAGGACCAGAATGTCCCTGCCCTCCACGAGGTGCTGGAAATGAAGGAGGGCCAGACGGACGGCCCGCAGCTCCAAGAAGTTGATGTTGCTTCGACGTTCTTGTACAGTCCAGAGGCCCTGAGCCTGATGCTGAAGCAGATGTGCCCCCCAACCCTGAAGGCTGGCATCGGTCACCAGAGAAAGACGATGGGGTTTGCGAAAGCAACTGCCCTGAGCAATGGCGTCGGATGTCCACCACCGCAGGGATGAGGACACTTGAGGGGTCAACCGCAGGAGGATGAGCGAGGAGCTGTGGCCGGCCCGTTGGTGAGGAAGCAGGAACCACTGGAAATGCCTGCTATGCAATTGAGACCAGGGAACTATTCCAAAGGCGGAGACCATTTTCCCCAACGAACGGGACAGTTTAAGAACAGAACAGGAACCCTCTGCTAAACACTGAGAAGCCAATGAGGAAAGACTAACTTGGCGTTCTGGGGAAAGGAAGACTAACGATGAAACTGAGTCTATAGTAGCCCCTAGGTGGAGAATACGGGAACTAGGAGCAAGCTGGCTCTTGGACCAGTTAATCGAGAAGCCATGAGCCTGCAAGGTGGATAAAACAAGATCTAAATCCCGTTGAGCGGAAGGGAAGGACGAGGACTGAACCAAAATGTCGTCCAAATAAAATTGTACACATATAGAAAAGGTCCGGATATGCCCGATGAGGGCGGCCATAATCTTAGTGAAGACCCTCGGGGCAGACGACAACCCGAAGGGTAGGGCCCTATACTGGTAATGGTGTCCCAAAAAACTAAAACGGAGATACTGACGGTGGGAAGGAGCGATACGTATATGAAGGTATGCCTCGGTTAAATCTATAGAGAAGAGCAAATCCCCTGGGCGAATACATTCCAAAATGGTGGACAAGGAATGCATTTTGAACTGGCGGTAAGTAACGTACTGGTTCAAAGCCGTCAAATCTAGGATGGGACGCCAACCCCCCGAGGACTTCTTAACAAGAAACAAGCGGGAGTAGAACCCCTGGCCCCACTGCTCCCGAGGAACCTTCTGGACGGCCCTTAAGTCCAAAAGATGGGAAATAGCTGAAGACACCAAGGCCCTCTTAGTGACATCCCGTGGAATGGGGCAGGGAAGGAAAACAGAAGGAGGGGTAGAAAGGAACTCTAGATAAAGCCCCGACTTAATAGTAGACAGGACCCAGGCATCAGAGGTAGAAAGCTCCCACTGATGGAGAAAAAGAGACAAGCGTCCCCCTATGGGAGCAGAATTAGCGGGATCTACCCTGGAAACGACCCCTGCTCCCCCTGAAAGAACGCTTTGGGAAGAACCTATTTCCCTGTCTAACCTGGGTATCCTGGGAGTGGGTTCTCGCCGGAAAGGAATGCTGGAAGCGGTGTTGGTAAGGACCGGAGTCGGGAGCACGAAAGGACTGGATCTGAGGAAGAGCTGAAAAGCGAGAATCCGCACGTCTGGAAACCGAGGAAAGAATCTTACGTCGGTCTCTAGTTTCAACCAGGAGAGGCTCCAACGGGGGCCCGAACAAAGAGCCTGCAGTAAAGGCCGCAGAAGCCAATTGCCACTTGCTCCGCATATCGGCGTTCCAGTTGCGTAGCCACAGGAGACAACGCGATGTAACATTGGAACTTAAAGCTTTAGCTGCAAATCTAGTTGCATTAAGAGTGGCGTCCGCTGAATACTCCAATGCGGCTGAAATTTTGTTCAAGTCCTGACGGGAACGAGTGTCGGTAGGCTGAATGCGGTCCTGAAGTTGTTTGATCCATAACAAAGCGGCTCTGTTGAAGAACGAAGCCGAGGACGAGGCCTTGATGGCCCAGGCAGCCCCCTGGTGACCCTTGAGTAGGATCTTCTCAGCTCTGCGATCTTCCGGGTGCAAAGAATCCTCTGGAGGACCAGCGGGATGAGAGGAATTGCAAAGAGCCACTATTGGGGCGTCCACTGGAGGAGGCTGCAGTAAATCCGAAAGGGTGGGAGCAGAATTATACAGTCTCTTGTCAAGGCTGTTTGGACTAGGACCAGCCCCAGGTAAGTTCCACTGGCGTTGGAGCACATCTAAGAAATGTTTGGGAGCCGGGATGGTCTCCGGGTCCACCGTAGGCTCTGCAAAGACCGCCGAAGCTGGGTCAGGAACAACGGAATCCGGTGGTACGGAAGGAACAGTGCCCAAACAAGTAGTCACTATGGCTTTGCATAATAAGGAGCAAAAAAGCTGTGGTTTGAAAAGTCCAATAAACGGAGTTTGATCAGGAACCAGTCCCTCGTCATCAGACAGGGCTGAATCAGGAGCCTCATCCACCTCAGACAGAGATGCGTGATCCGGGGATACCATAGACTCTGCCAGGTCTTGTTCGGACACGGAATCCCCGGCCAGGTGATGTTGTAAAAGCTGAGGAGAAGGAGTGATGTCGCCGTTGCATACATTGGGCCAGTCCTTGTTTAATGACCCTGGCTAGCATGAGTTCAAAGGTCTCTGGAATGGGCGGAGCCGAGACCACTGGAGGAGCCACTGGAACCGGAGCGTCCCTGATCATCCCTTGGGGAGCCTCAGGAGCCAAAATTGTCTGAAAAAGAGGCTCAGCGCCAGGCACATGAGGCGGTTCAGCCGAAAACGAGCCATCCGGCGAAAGCTCCCAGGTGGCACTGGACGCCAGAGATGGAGCAGGAGACCGAGCTCTCGAGGAGATCACTGGGTCGCTAGGATTGGTCTGGGCCACGGTAGATAAGGCTTTGTTAAAGGCCTTCTCAATGGCCTTGTGGCGCCTCTGCTCATCCTTAGAAGATGAAGAGCCAGACTTGCTACTTTTGCCCCGATGGGATTTGGGCTGCTTAGGAGAGGGGCCCTCCAACGGATCATCATGGGCAGGCCTTTTTAAAGCTCTGCTGGACTGGTTGGAAACCGATTGATGTCTAGCCGCCATTTTAGAAGGAGCCCCGGCTGGATCAAATAGTTCAAAATGGCCGCCGACACTGATAACGGGATGCCGCTGCTGTTCTGAGCAATAAAAGGGCAAGCCTCAAATCTGAAGTTAGAAGCAATAGAAAACTATCGCTAACTCAGCGATCTAGGCAGCAATAGAGAGATCGCTAGCTCAAGGCTATTACTGCGATCGCGGCCAATGCAAAGCAGTCCAGGCTGTCAGTCAATTCAAAAACGCTGCCAGCCGAAGGGCTGTTAAAGCGGCAGCCAGCAGAGAGCGGGAGAGCAGAGGCTGGGAGAGAAAAGCTCGATCGCAGACCAAGAGGCCGAATCGCGATCTCGGAGTGCTCTCCTCACTAATAAATAGCAGCGCCAATTTCAAAAGGGAGGTCTTACCCGATGGTGAAGGCTGCAAGCGGAAAAAAACGCGCGCAAAAGCGCCGCCGCGCTCAACCCGATGGCTGAGGGGAGCGCGAGGCGGCGAAACGCAGCGCTGACGATGAAAGTAGCCAAAAAAAGCAATAAAAAGGAAAAAGAGTCCAAATTTAACAAAAAATAAATAAACAAACTAGGCTGAAGCAGGAGAAAAGGAGACGGCTTCACAGGGAGACACGACCGGCCAGCATAGACCGAGTCGAAACACTAGATTGGAGGGCGGAGCTAAGCTAATTTGTAGACTCGGTCACATGCTGCATGGCACTGTTGGACCCCAAGGTGACAGTCGTTCCCCTACTATGCGGAGAATACCCCATTCCAATTGGCAAAATTAGTAAGACACTTTTCTGTTTTATTGAATTACTTATTCATTATATTTTACATCACTCTTCCCACCTATTTTTTTTCAATCTTAAATTAAGAAATATCTAGCATAATCATATACAGGTTTTCAGAAAGAATGACATCTATTTCTCTTCATGTTGAAACTAAATTGCTATTTAATTACACCCAGTTATTTTACTGTTGTTTGACTAAATAAAATAAACTTTATTCTCAAGCAGTGATTTTTCAATTTTCTGGAAAAGATTTATTCATACATTCAGATAAATTTCCTTTAGTTCCTTGAATTATTCTGCATGTTGTATGACTGCAAACCCTTTCAGCAATAGCAAATATAGCCTTGCCATGCACAAATAAATAAATCTAAAGAGAAAAGGAAATAAATTTCAGCACAATAATAAAGAAAAACAGCTTTTACCTGGCAAATCCAACTCCTCTACTGATGCCATTTGCATCTCTTAATATTCTGGTGGAAATGACATGTCCAAAAGGTTTAAGCATATTCTCCAACTCTTGCTCATCCATGGAGATGGGCAAGTTTGAGATGTAAAGATTTGTGGGGTCTTGTTCTTGTTGCTAAAATAAAAGAAACAATCCTCTTAGATCTTTCTCAGCTATGTTATATCACAAGAGACACAAATATAAATCTTTTCAAGAGAAGGAAGGAGGTCAATTTTATATATTATCTTATAGGTGAATATAAATCCTATAATAAATGTTATAATTCAAAACAGAAGTAGTCCTTTAAACAACACTGCAACTGATTTTAATAGCATTTTCACCAACTGAAGAAACATATTGATAGGCAAGCTTGTGATCAATGGATGAATTGCAAACCATACATTGCTCAGTTATAAACTAAGATATTTCATGGGCTAGTTTTTTGGCCAAACAAAAGAACGATGAAATGGGCAAAAACTAATACATGTAGTTCTTGGTTAATGACCATTTGTTCGGCAACCATTCTAAGTTGCAAAAGTGTTGAAATAGTGGTACTTATTACCGGTCCTTCCACTCTAATTCTATTGGCAGATCTTTATATTTTTTATGTTTTCAGTTTTTTTCTCTTCTTTTTTTTTAAATCAAGTTTTTTATTTTTGTATAGTTTATACATATCATTATGTGAATGGTGTGGTATCTGAGTATCATACAATTCAATACAAATAAACATTATCATAATTATTACATTCCATTTTCCTCATTCCATATTATTAATACATTGCTTTACCACCCTTCCATTCTAAACTTTCTTTAACATTTCACCCTTCACATTATTATATGCAAAGACATGATAATCTGTTTTATTATTCATATTTCCATTATTTAACTCTTCCTCTCTCTATATGTATTAAAGTTCCTTTCTTTCTTCCTTTCATTATTATAGTGACTTCTAATATATGTTGAGGGTAAAACTTCCCTCTGCATAGTAGGCAACAGACCAGACAGCAAAGAGATACATTGCTGGTTAAACACACAGATACTCACAGACTCTGAATGGTGAAAAAAAAAAACATTCTTTACTCTTAGTGAAAAAACAAACTTGGTTTCTCAAAACAATGATAACACGTCTTCGAATAATCATTCTCCAACACAAAACATAGTTTGCTTACAGTTCTCTTCAGTCACACACAGTCCCTCTTCAGAAGATCAATCATCAAATAGCAGGAGCAGGAGCTCCTGGGCTTCCTGTCTACTTTTATGGCTGCCTGATCATAGCACAGCCAATCATTTTCTTTAAAAAAGCAGGCAAAGTGGATAATAAAAAGATCTGGTTATGCCTAAAGCAGAGACAGAGGAGCTAATTCTGGCTGAACAAGACCAAATCTTAAAAACAAATTCATAGAATTCAGCAATAGACAGTAGGTGCCATCTCTACAAAGATCTTGTGATTAATTGCCACAAGATCATACAGACTGATTACAGACAACAGCATGACAAAGTAGCAACAATTGGAATTGTTCTTTCATTCTCCCCTTTGGGTAGCTTAATATATTTACAATCTCAAACCATATTGTTCACATGTATCTATATGTTTCCTACTTCCCTGTGCTTTTGTGAAATGATCAGCCACATTGTCTTCTGATGCACAATATAGAAGTTCTATCATCTTGTTCATTATATACTCTTTTACATTTAGATACCAAAGATCTGTATGCTTCGTTCTAGTTTTCAGTTATATTCGTCGCCATTTGTATCGCTGCCTGATTATCTTCGTATACTGTTATAGTATCTCTTATATTTATTCCTATATCTAGTATCAGTTGCTTAATACTAATCAGATCAGTACATAATAGAGATAAACAAGAAAATTCTGCCTCCATTGTAGACATACTCAAATACTTCTGTCTAATTGAACGCCACCATATAAAAGACTTTCCCAGAAATATAGCGATTCCTGAGGTTGATTTCCTTGTATTCACATCTGTTGCGAAACTAGCACCCGCGTAAGCAATTACAGGTAAATCTTCTGATGGTTGTAGATATAATGCATGATGCATGATATATTTCAAATACCATAGAATACGTTTTGCTCCCTGCCAGTGTCTTTCTGTAGGTTCCTTGTTAAACCTAGCCAATTGGTTAACACTATAAGAAATATCGGGCCTAGACCAATTGCTGATATATGATAAGCTGCCAACCAGCAATTGGTAAATCCCTTTATCAAACAACGGACTGTTTACATCAGTGTTACAATAGTCTTGTACCATAGGTATCTTTGATGGTTTACATAACTCCATCCTAAATTGTTTTAATAAATTATTGATTTTATCAGTTTGGGATAATTTAAATCCTCCCCTGTTTTTTTCAATTCGTAAACCCAGGTATTGTTGTATCTCCCCTAGACTTTTTATTCTGAAATGAGTTTTTAATTGATCAACAATCCTGCTCAGACTAAGCCTTGAAGTAGATGGAATAAAAGACAAGAGAAAAATATTGGAGACAAGTCAAAAAAAAAGGTAGGATTAAAGGATTAGATGTGGACAAGAGATAATGGTTAAGGGGCGAAAAAAGTTATAGATACGTTATGATCATATTTTAATAATTGTATTAATATTAGAATGATATAGTCTGGATAATTAGTTGGTATGTAATATAATAAATATTAGGATAAATATTTTACTATAAATGGATATGTAACTGTGGAAAAATTATAAATGAAAATTTACTATTAATTGGAAATGAGAAGATATAGCTATGCATAATAATAGTAGAATTATATGCAACAAGAAAACTAGAGTTTGAATGAGAAAATTATAAAAAAGATAGAATAGGAATATGTCGAATGCTTTAAATGATTGTGATTGATTTTGTTGGATATTTATCCTACGGTTGGGTAGGTAATATATAGAAAACTATGTTTGTGACTTTAAATGATATAAGAATAATGATTGGCTGTGCTATGATCAGGCAGCCATAAAAGTAGACAGGAAGCCTGGGAGCTCCTGCTCCTGCTATTGGATGATTGATCTTCTGAAGACAGACAGTGTGTGACTGAAGAGAACTGTAAGCAAACTATGTTTTGTGTTGGAGAATGATTATTGGAAGACGTGTTATCATTGTTTTGAGAAACCAAGTTTGTTTTTTCACTAAGAGTAAAGAATGTTTTTTTTTCACCATTCAGAGTCTGTGAGTATCTGTGTGTTTAACCAGCAGTGTATCTCTTTGCTGTCCAGTCTGTTGCCTACTATGCAGAGGGAAGTTTTACCCTCAACACTGGTTATGGGCCCAGTCTTATGTACCAGTTACAGCAATAAGGGAGTTGCGACACACATTACTCCTCCAGGCGTTCTGATATATTTCATATCCTGGTGAGGATGGCACACGGTCAAGCTCCAAATTTATCGCTGGTTACCCAGCTGGATGGCACCAACTACAAATCCTGGTCCACCAAATGCAGTCTACTGTTGCGCAAAGAGGGGCTATGGGATGTAGTGCAGAACCCACCAGATGTGGCCTCCTGGAATGCTGACGATGCCGAGGATGCCAGGAAGATAGTGGAGTTCCAGAGGAAAAATTAGAGTGCATTGTGTATAATTAGTTTGACTCTAGACGATACCCAGCTTGTTCACATCGAGGTTACATTGGCCAAAGTTAGTTCTTGTTGTGTGAGGACTTCAAATGATGTTACTACATCGTCGTAGCTCTCATCCAGCGATGATAACAGTATATAAACCTGTTGCTGCTCAGAAAAAAACACCTCCTTCTGATGTAGCTCTCGAAAAACGCCTTTCATGTAATTCAGGTATGTTAACATGTCACCAGCCTTAAGGAGTCGTGTGCGAAATAACTTTCGTGTAATGTTAATTTGTGCCCCCACAGTGTCACGAACATAAAGCCATCTCAAATTACCCCAGCATCTTTTCTCACCCAGATGATACATCATTCACTGTTTCTCTCCTCCTGCACAAATTTATGGTTTCTGGCTGTTCCCCAGCTTCATTTTGACTGCCGCTGGTTCCTAGTTTTTGGATAAGGGGGTTTTCCAAGTCAGGAAGGGGAGATGTAGCTCCTCTCAACCTGCAAGGTGGTCCCCCTTTGCTTCACCCCTCCAGGATGGCTTTGGCTTTGAATGAAGGCCCCAACAGGGAGAGCTCAAAACGGGGCTAGGGAGGCACTCGCTTCCAAAGACACCAGAAGTTCAGTCGGAAGTCCAGTTTTTTCTCTTTTATTTTGCTGTCCCCAGGTACCTGCCATCTCCATTATCAAGACTTTTTTTTGTCTTTCTTAACAACAGTTGTTAAGTCTAGAGTATGTGGCAGATGCTTATCTGTTTAAATTCTAAAGAGCAGTTTAGCTTTAGTCATTTTCTATGACTTTCTCTATTTTTTAATCCAACAGAACAAACAGTTCTTGCTTGCAGGAAAATGGTGTTTCTTGCAGACCTTCCAATACAATTCCAATTGTTGCTACTTTGTCATGCTGTTGTCTGTAATCAGTCTGTGTGATCTTGTGGCAATTAACCACAATATCTTTGTAGAGATGGCACCTACTGTCTATTGCTGAATTCTATGAATTTGTTTTTAAGATTTGGTCTTGTTCAGCCAGAATTAGCTCCTCTGTCTCTGCTTTAGGCATAACCAGATCTTTTTATTATCCACTTTGCCTGCTTTTTTTTTTTTTTTAAATATACTGGCTATGTAATACTTTGTCTTCCCATTTTTTTTCTGTTTTTCATTTACTCTTTCCTGTAGGCCAGTTTTGTCTCTGTAATACTAAATAAGCCCTCCTTGTATACTAGCATGAAGGTATCTTCTTCACTGTCCTTCAGATATTTATTATTTTTGCAACGTCATTATTCTAATTGTTATCAAAACCAGATGCTATAATTAGTTTGCAAATTTTATTGTCAGCCAATCAAAAACAAATGCTGATATGCTCCCACACATTCACTTTATAGATGGAACAAAACAAAAAACTATGTTTAACAAGAATATTATGGAAATCAATTAGTACAATACAGAAAAAGTCTGTTTTGGAATTGTCAAATGCAATGTACACTTTAAATACACACCATAAAATTGAGTTAATTTTTCAGTTTTTAATTTGAGCAAATATTAAGAGTAGTCTTAGATATG